CCCTCCACGTTGGCCGTCAGCTCCAGCACGGAGTCCTTGATGTGGCTGATGATCTCATGGTTCTCCTCCAACAGCTGCTCCAGCTGCTCGATGCGGTTCTGCAGCACAGAAATTTGGCTCTGCCAAAAAACCAGAAAGCAATCACCCCCAGCTCCCTGTGTCACGGGGAAGGCCTCTGCTCGGGGTCCACCGGAGGCCTGGCCATGAGTCTTTTGTCTCAGTCGAAGCTGGACCACGAAGCTCCATGGCCTTCCCTCTGGTCAGATTAGGGAGCTGAGCACCTCAATCCACTCGGATGGGACGTGCCATCACTCTGGCTCCCGCACGGCAGAGATTTCATCTCCCATAACCTATTTCCCAGTCGGTGTCGCCTGTCTGGAGCTCTGTGCTGAGGACTGAGTGGGAATGAGTGCTGCAATCAATTAGCACTGTCTGCCCGGAACACAGGAAGATGGAGCAGACACACACACAGCCATTTCCCTTCCTTCCTTCATGCCATCACTGCTTTTAGCCTTGGCTTTCTAGAAAACCTGCCTACTGAGAAGGCACGGTCTTGTCCTGGGCTGACATGACTCTCCAGCTGAGGTGGCAAGCTGAGCCCACATGACTTGGGGATGAAGAGATCGATGGGCAGCCAGGGATGACTCACCCGGGGGAAGTTCCCACCGCTCTGGTGTCGGGTGGGGTCGTGCTGCACCCGGTCCAGCATGAGGTAGAGCGAGAAGACCCCCACGCAGAAAATAGCGGCGCCGCACACTGTCACCTGCTTTTTCAGCTTCATGCTGGCTTCCTCATGCACCTGGCAGGATGGATATTCCTCTGTAGCTCCAACATTCAAGGGACTTTCCACTGCATGTCCCAGTGGGCACCTGAGGGCTGCTCCCAAGGAACACCTCTGCCCGACACTAATAAGAAGCTTTTCAGCACTCAACCCCAGCCCTGCCCGGGGATGCTGGCCAGCTATGATTTCCGTCTCTTGGCTGAGATGTGAAAGGACAAGGAAGCAGCACGTCTCGAGCTGCCCCTGCCTGGTCCTGGTGGCAGCTCTGCTCTGACCGTGGGGAAGCAGCTCTCCCTAGGCTGATGCTACAACACGGGGACAGGATGAGGGAACCCCAGTTCTCACTCCAGGGCCCATGCGCAACTTCCTGAGGACAACCAGCTTCCCAGAGGGCCTGCCTCCAGGAGGTGCCCGCCCAGGCCCCTTGGTCATGTCCTCCTGGTCTCTGATGAACACACTGGCCTCTAATTGTCATCTGAAAGTAAAGCCAGAGTCCAAAGAGACTGGCAGTAAAGCCTTTCTCCCCACTCTCCTGGGTCAGACTGGCACTCACAGACTCTGCGCCTGGTACAGACCCTCTCTAACAGACACAGCAGTGACTTTCTCTTTCCAAAAAGAAGAAAGGCGCTTATGTTCCTAACAAAGCCAGTCCTCCATGTCTGCCCTGTTAGTACTGATTCCTGCAGCAAGAAACTTTCAGCTGCACGTAGGAGACCTCTGGGAAGCCAGCGGTGATGCCAAAGGTCCCCTGGGTAAGGAGAAGGCTGGCACGACTGCTTGGCAGAAACAACTTCAAAGGACCAATGCCCGCTGCCACCCCGTGGGCCCCACTTGCCTTCTGGGGAGGGAGGATGCTGCTGGGCCCAGTGTGAGCGGGACCGTGCTCCGGAGCTGGCTACAAGGGCCCCGGGGCCAAGGAGCTCTGTTTCCTCTGCGTGCTCTACTTAGCACGATCTGATTCCGCTTAGCGGCCCCCGGGCAATATTTTTAACCCTGGGAGGCTGCGTCCAGGCCAAAGTGGGAGGAGCTGGGGAGAGAGAGTTGGTCCTAGGAGGGCAGGCACCTGCCGCTGGATCTTCGGTCGCCCGCCAGCCGGCCCAACTCCCCTCCCGGCCCTCTCTGACTCCGCTGGTCCCCGGGACCAAAACG